AACTTCTTATCATTTTTTCTTTAGAATCAACATTTTCCGAATTATAAACGAAAATAGGATCAAAAAAATGAGAAATTTTCAATTGTTTTCAGATTTTGTTAAATAAAAAATTTAGCACAGGGTTTGCGACTGGTGCACATCGTGATTATAGATATTGAGCACATCCTGAAGGGATTCCAGCAAAACAATAGCTTCCTATGGAAAATATCCAATCTAAAACAGATTCCGCCTAGACTATATCGGGAAATGACAGAACAAGGTTTGAACGTGAATTTAGGTCTAAGTGAATTCAAAAATAATATTTTTACTTGTGTTTTTAGGCCTTAAAAATCTTAATTTTGCGTTTTTTAGTTTTAAATTATTTATAGCTCAACAACGATCAATTTTACACAAAACTTGCAAGATATCTATTTTGTTCAGAATGATCTAAAAAAATTAAGTTTGAAAAAATTTATTGTTTCAATTTGTTTTAAAAAATTTGAACAAATTTTCGTCTGAGCGACCTGCTAAACCTTATTTTGGGGTATCTCATGAAATTGAATATGCAAAAAATCTCATGAGAATATTTTTCCGAACGAACTCGAGCTTTTCGCCTTGTCTACTACGTTACCTTTAAGAAGCTGTTGAATACTAGGAGAGATTAAAAATTTTTAAAATGTCAGAAAACTAACTAACTGTCTAATTAACTAACTTACTCTAACAAAAAGCGAAGAAAGATGATGGAAATATCACAACAATTGGCATTAAATGTTAAGGTCATGGGGGATTGGTACAGAAAAATTAAAAGAACTGAGATTAGAAAATTAAAATCTAAGGGAAGAAAATCGAGGTATTAAAATAAAAATTAAACAAACACAAAACGAAATCCAAAAATTAAATAAATGAGTAGAGTACATACAAAAATAAAAGAAAAAATATAACTTCCCTTTTAATGGGAAATTGCCACGTTTTCATTTTCACTTCAAAAACCGTTATTTTATATAACAGGATATAATATTGACGCAGAAAATCCTGAGCTAAAACATTGGAAACAATGGGGGAAATTAAAAGAAAAACATTAAAGATACAAGGAACAATTAAACTAGCCCTAAACAGGGAAATTAACGTTAATTTTCGATACAAATACGTATCAGACAAGGAAATTACGAAAAAAAAAAGTACAAAACGCTTGAAATAAAAGTAAATCCATACAAAAAAGCTTTCGAAAGGTTAAAATGGATTGCAAAGTATGAATATCAAATAGAGAAAAAAAAATGAATAAAGCGAACATACGATTACAATAGGATCTTGGAATTGATAAGTACTTTTAAAGCAGAAATTTTTAAACATATTGTATCCACCATGAAAAAAAAGGTGGATATCCTGGTGATGCATTAAAGCAGGATACGAAACAAGCACCGAAACATAAGGAAAGCTTTTATTAATGGTAGATAACTATAGCTTTCTCAATATCTTTTTTTTGTTTAATAAAACTCCAACAGGAATCTTATGACTATTGCTATCTGATCATTCACTATGATCAATAAGCAAGTTAGTTCTATATATAAATATTACAAGAACCTTATCTAAGGTTATATTCAGCAATATTCCTTAGGCTCTAATACATTATAGTACTACTAGCTAACGTGTACACTTAAGCCGCACTTTACTCTGCTTTTTCACTTTCACTTACTTATAGCACTAAATCAAACGGCTTCGTTCTCTTTAGTCTTCTTATCTGGTTGGCGTTGTCTAGGAGTTTGATGGCCTCGACGTTCACGTGGTTGGAGAGCCTTTGTTCATGACTCTCGGCAAACTTACTTATTGTCTGGATAACTGTATCCATCTGGAGGTCTCGATGAAGATCACAGTTTCTAAAGTACCATGGAGCGTTAACGATGTTCCTTAATACTTTATTCTGATATCGTTGTATATGTTGGATGTTGCTTTCTTTTGTACAGCCCCATAGCTATATTCCGTATGTCCATATCGGTTTAAGGACTTGCTTATATAATAGCAATTTGTTATAAATAGACAGAGTGGATTTTTTTCCCATCAACCAGTACATCTTTCTGAACTTAATTTCTAATTCCTCCTTTTTTTTAACATGTGCTTTCCAACGTAGCTTGGAATCTAACGTCATACCCAAATATTTTGCCGTATTTGCATAAGGTATTTGGTTTCTATTTATATGTACTGGGATATGTTGTTCTCTTTTGTTAGTAAAATTGACATGAACAGATTTTGTTTCATTCAATTTGATACGCCATCGGCTGGTCCAGATGTTAATTTGTTCAACAGAGTTCTGTAGCATGGTAGCTGCATTCTCGTGGTTTTGTCCGACTGCTAGAATGCATGTGTCGTCTGCAAATGTCGCAATTGTGTTAGGTTCTAATGATGGAATATCGCTGGTATAGAGCAGGTATAGCACTGGCCCCAGGACACTTCCTTGTGGAACTCCAGCTTTAACTTCTCTTAATTCTGAATATGCTTCCTCATATTTAACTCGAAAGTATCTGTCGGATATATATGATTCTAGTAGTTCAGAATATTGTTTTGGTAAGTAGCATCTCATTTTATGATATAGTCCGTCATGCCACACCTTGTCAAAAGCCTGCGCTACATCGAGGAAAATTGCGGAACAAACTTTTCCTTCTTCTAGAGCTTTTTCTATGATATCTGTTATTCTATGCACCTGATCTATCGTTGAGTGGCTTGCTCTAAACCCAAACTGATAATTAGGAATTAGATTTTTTTCCTCTATAATCGGTTTTAGTCTCTTCAAGAGTAATTTTTCGTATAATTTAGACATGACAGGTAACAGTGAAGTAGGCCTATATGAAGAAGCTTCTTGTGGAGGGTTTCCTGGTTTTTGTGTCATTATAATTTCTGCCACCTTCCATATATTTGGTACGTACCTCAACCTAAAGGAAGCGTTTATAAGATATGTTAATTTTATAATAGCTTTCCTTGGAAGTTGCTTTAACACTTCCCCAGTAATTAGATCAAATCCAGGAGCTTTCTTTGGATTTATATTTTCATTTATTTCCAAATATACTTCTTTTGGAGTTACAAGGCTAATCTCCATTTCGTCTTGATCAGGGAGCTCCCAGTTTATTCTTTCTTGTTCTTCATTTGGTTGAAAAGTATTTTCTAGGTGGTCAGCAAACCTGTTGGCCTTTTGTATACTGCTTCTTGCCCAGCTACCATTAGTATTTCTAATTGGTGGATACTGTAAGATTCGCCTTTTTAATCGTTTAGTAGCCTTCCACAAAGAGTAATCAGTAGCGCTATCATTTGATAGTTCACTTAGGTAAATGTTAACCGATTCGTTTTTAATTTTTTGTATTTCTCTTTTTAATTTTTGTGTGGCATTAGTTAATCTAGTTTTATCAACTGGTGCTCTAGACTGATGCCACTTGCGTCTTAGTTTTCTTTTTTCGGTTATCATTTCTCTGATTTCTTTCGGGTAGTTATTTCCTTTTACTCTTTCGACAATGTTCGTGCTGTTGTTCCAAGCAGCTTGTTGTATATTTTTATTGAGTAATTCTACTTCTGCTTCTAGTTGATCAATGGTTCTTAATGGCACTGAGAGGTTAATCTTCTCTTCAAGGTCTATCTGGAAACTTTTTCAATCAGTATTTTTGTTAACAAGTCTAGGGGGGCTTTCTTCTTTGATAACAGTGTCACTGAGTGTGAGAATAATTGGAGAATGGTCCGAGGTCATATCCAATGCTTCTTCTATCTCTATGTAATTTGTAGAAATATTTCTAACTACAAAGAAGTCGATAAGGTCTGGAATTTTATTTGTGTCAGTAGGCCAATATGTTGGTTTTCTCGTTGATACTGCGTCGCATTTTATGTATTTCATTGCTTCTAAAATTTCTTTCCCTTTGGTTGTAGTCAGTCGTGACCCCCAATGCGTATGTTTTGCATTGAAGTCTCCTCCAAGGATAAATCTATGTCCTTGACTGGTCAGGAAATCTACGTATTGATTTTTCTTGATGGCATGTCTTGGCAGACTGTAAACTGCTGTGATGATTACCTCATAATTTTTACATTTAATTTTTACTGATGTGGCCTGAAATTCTTTTGTTCTGTATCCAATTTCCTGATAGTGCGTAATATTTTCCTTGATTATTACTGCACTACCTCCTTTGGCTGCATTATCAGGGTGAGTAGTATGATAAGTTTTGTAACCCCTAAATCTAATATATGACTCATTCGTAAAATGGGTTTCAGAAATGAGGCATATGTCTATTTTTCTATATCTAGTATCGCTTGTAGTTCTTGCTAATGTTTCAAGATCCCATTTGCATTCCATTCTAGTATTCGTAAATTACCCGCCATTACCTAGTCTTTTAGGTATAGCTCCTTTGGTGCTACATATATTCTATTCTGGTTATACGCTCGTCTAGGTTAGTTAATCTCTCTAATATTTTTTGTAGTGTTTGTTCTATTTTCAGATCTTTTTGACTACTATAGTTTTCTTCGTTACTTTTACTAGCTGCTACCATACTATAAGTTCTTGTTTTGTTTTCTTCTTGTTTTGGATTTTCTACAGGTTTTGGATGCATTTTTTGAGGTTGTCTGGGTAAGGTCTGTTTCTTGTTATATTTATCTTTTATTTTTTGTATTTCTTTTGCCACGATACATCCTCTATAGTTAGCCGGATGCCCTTCTCCACAATGGACACATTTAGGTTTTGCGTCCTTGGGTTTCTCACATTTGGCTGTTAGGTGTTTTCCTGTGCTTTCTCAATATTGATAGAGAACGTTGAATTCCACATGACGTATGTGTGTTGTCATTATTATGTAAAGTCTGAATCAGTACAGTCATATAATAAAGCATTGTCGTTTCGGAATGTGCCACATTTTCAAGTTCACGCGTTCATTAAATTCGGTTATAATCATTACAGCATCTATGTACACATCGATCTTTCCTGCATTCTTTGCTATAAATGATTCTACTTTTAATAAATATACACACTTTGAGCTAATAATCTTTTTATTTCTTTTTAGTACCTAGAACTTAGATTTAGTAGAGTTGTTAGAACAATGGCGTCAGTATTGTTTATTTTAGATGAGGTGAGTTTTCCATATTACGATATAAGCATAAAACTATTGATTATTTTCTTTTAGGTTATGTTTTTACCAATCATTATTTATGTTCCTTCGTTAGCATTTAATCAAGGTAAGAAAATTGAAAAAACTGTTGTTCGTTTTATATATTTTTAACGTGTTTATTATAGTGCTCCGTACTTAGCATTATTGGATGCTTTATAGCTTAAGCACGATTTTTCTGTTATTTCTGCTGCTTTTTTCTTTTAAATGTTTGGTAATGTGTATTTGATGTGTACTACCTTACACGTAAAAGTTATATATATATATATATATATATATATATATATATATATATATATATATATATATATATATATATATATATATATATATATATATATATATATATATTATTAATATCAAATAATCCAAATCAGCATAAATACAACGCACTAATATGATATATTTGTTATGGTAAAACAAAAAAGACATTAATTTAATACTTAAATAAAAGATTTTGTTTTGGAGAACAATAAATATAAGTTCAACAAATTTTAAGTGGATATTATTTCAAGATAAGTTAAACACTTTGCACCACAACCTTACCCGCTATTCATTTTGAATTTAAATTATGTCATCATCATCAGTAGCTCGACAACCCTTTCTGGGTCCTGGCTTGTTCTAGGATTTTCCGCCATTCTGTTCTGTTCCTTGCTTTGTTTTTCCAGTTGCTAATCTTACGTCTTTTCAGATCTTGTTCCACTTGTTCCATATATCAAAATTTATTTTAAACTCTGATCACTATAGTTGTTTCGGCTGATTGCCTTTCTCAAGTGATCTATTTGTAATCTATTTGGCATGCGGAGAGAGAATCATTCATTCTCTCTCCTGTTGCTGACAAATAATGTAGAGCGTAGAACCATTTTAATTAATTATTAATTTTAAACTTTTTGTCCTTGTTTTAGTGTAGTGTTTTGTACAATTTTATGTTAAAATTTATGTTTATCATATTTTACGCTTGCTGGATAGTCCAAATTTGACGAAATGCCCCTGATGATGCTGTAGTAAGCGAAAGTACTTGGGCAAGATTTAATTGTTAAAATTGTGCTCGATATTTGCCTTTCATTTTTCAAAGTTTATTTTATTAATTGTTTGTTCGTTGTATCCATTGTTTACTGCTATTTATTTAATGATATTTAATTCTGTCTCAAAGTTGTATTTTCAGATTGGATGTTCTGTTAATCTATGTAACATACTATGATAGGCTGCCAGTTTATGTTGTGTTGGATGGGATGATGAATTGTGTATAGCCGTGTTAGTATGGGTAGTTTTATGAAATATGGAGAAGTCATGTTTGTTTTTAAGTCTGATAATTTTTAAATCTAAAAAATTTATGGATTGATTTTGTTCTGTTTCTATTGTAAATTAAATATGACTATGAAGTGAATATACGATAAAAATTGATCGAGTTGCCTGTTAGTTCCTGTGAATAATACCAGTACGTCGTCTACAGCTCCGTCATATAAGCTTTCAAAAAAAACTGTTAGAGATTATTTTAGAACATACTAAATTTTCACCTAAATTTACCATAAAAAATACAATAGAAGTAGTTAATAAAATACAACATTTTCAATTACCTAACAACTACAGATTAATTGCATTTGACGTAAAAAATCTTTTTCCTGGTATCCCTCTTACAGAAACTTTTATTCTAGTAAAAAACCTTTTAGACCAAACTAGTACAAATCCAATAATTACATCCAACACAACATAACCTGGTAGCTTATCATAGAATGTTACATAGATTAACAGAAATTCCGATGTCAACATACAACTTTGAGACAGAATTAAATATCATTAAATAAATAGCAGTAAACGGATACAACGAACAAACAATTAATAAAATGTTAAATCAAAAACTAAACAAGAAAGCCCTGAAAATAGTAATTCAACCACCAGAGAAAATACCCAGTACCTTCTGCTCGATTACATATACAGGCAAAATAGCCAAATACATAAAATAGAAAGGAATAACACCAGCTTTCCGAACAAATAACAACCTAGGCAAATATATTAAAAACAACAAGAGCCATAATAAAAAACACTTACACAATGGTGGGTACAAACTTAAATGTGGCGACTGCTCAAAAACTTACATCGGTCAAACTGGTAGAGACTTTAATAAACGAATAGCAGAACATAAAAGGGCTTTGAATAATAGAAAAACAGATTCTACATACTCACTTCACCTTTTAGATCACAATCATTCTTTTAATAACGAATTTAAAATTCTTTACGTTCAAAATAAAGGCCTTAAGCTATCCTTGTTAGAATCTATGGAAATCAACAAATTAATAAACATAGATATAATTCTGAATGACCAACTTGAGACAAACAGTTCTCCTTTCCTCAACCTATTAAATTAGAGACTATAAGGTGTAAACGCATGCCAAAAATAGATCACTTGAAAAAGGCAATCAGTCGAAACAGCTGTAGTGATAAGAGTTTAAAATAAATTTTGTGGAAGTTTGAAAACAAAGTTTTCAGTGTTTTATTGTTACATAAAATTAATTTCCATGAAGTAACGGTCGAATCCATCAATTATTCAAGAATTTGCAATGTTGACTGCCAGCTATCCCCTTATCTTTTAGGGGGTCTGTCTTGCGGTCTTTGTTCTTCTGCTTTTCCATGTCTTAGTATTCGGGCAAGTCTCTCTGTCCATTCTTTTTAAGTGTTAGTTGTATTCTCGTCTTTTTTATCGTCCCCATCTGACGATATCATGCACTTTAGACATGTCTCTAATTTGTGTATTAGGCGTTCTGTCTCTTAAAGTTTTACCTGATCTTGTCCTCGGTGTTCTCATCTCTATTGTTCTTAAGGTTTTCTTTGTAATTGTTGTTTCTACTCATGTTTCTGTGCCATAGGTTAATATCGTAATTTCATGAAATCGGGATTTGACCAGTAAAACTCATTAGTCAAACTCATGTTAGATTAGGTTTAATGAAGTGTCATTTTTTAATTTCGATGTTTATTATTTTTATATTGTCGTAATTAAAATAAAAAAGTACTCTTTATTCTGACATAATTAGGCAATATGACATTAGGAATTGCACAATTCGTTAGACCTTTTACATCTATATAATTTTGAAAAGCATTTTTTATTGCAGTAGTAGTTTATTATGCTTTGTCCCCCAAATTTGGAAACTTTTGCACTAATTTCAATTAGATATAGCTGAATATCGAGCACATGTTCTAACTTAAAAAATTCTCCTTGCATTCTGTTATTTATTTCTTAAAAAAAGTGTGTATTATTCCGTGTGTCGTCTCTACTCTATATAAACTATCGTCAACTGTTTTATCTTGTTTGATATCAACATCATTTCGAGCATCATTTTTGGCTCTATAAAAGCTGGGAATAGGTATGGTTATAGTATTTTCAATCGCAATTGGCGGAAATTTTTGTTCAGTTAATTGTTTTCTTAGGCTGATCATAAAGACCTTTAATCGCCTTTTCTTTATTTATTTTTATATTTTCTGTCTGTGCACAATGCATGCATGTAACTTTACTTTTGAAGCCTTTATAGTATGCACCGAGTATGTTATTAGTGTACACAACATGTACAACCTAATTATAAATTAGCACGAGTGTACGCTCCAACTCTCTTTTTTTGGCAAACACAATAAGCCACATCTGAAGAAGTAATCTCAATTGTTGAACAATTTTTTTCCTCTCTTCGTGACGACGGTCCATGGGCTTTGTCAGTATGGTAACTCTAAGGCTAAGGTCTTTTTTTCAATTAAAGTATCTTCTTTCACAGTTGACAAAGACAATCCAGGTATTTCCATTTCATATCTTTGAGCTAATATAAAATTCATATACTTAGAAAAATCAAATTAACTATATGTAGGTATGTAAATAATAATTAAAGAGCTTATTTCCAAAGTGGCTTAAATTAAACCTTTCCATTCTGCGATGTTTTTACTTTATTAAAGAACGTCTTTCTTTAATAAATATTCTAGATTTTTTCAGGCTTAGAATAATGTTTTATGCAACAAAACTTACTTTGAAACTTACGTGAACTTTTATTCGGAAATAGTCAGTTGATTATTTTACTTTTGCATTTATTGCAGTTACAGTGCATATTAATTATAAAAAGTTATTAAAATAAAATGTGCGCTTATAAATAGATACGCCTAATTATTGGCGATTTGGCCGTGATTTATTACTCCCAAGGCCAAATACACATGCTGATTTGGGATGAAAAATTAATAATAATTTTTGATAAGTCATTAATGTTTTTGATAAGCTGAGTTTTTCTACTTTTGCAAAGCAAATGGTTCATGGATCATAGTTTCTTAAACCGTTTTTATACTTTTTAATAGTAAGGCTACATAAATTTGTAATGATTTTAAAATTTTGAAAAAATATTACAAAAATTATGATTAATACTAGGTACTTTCATTAATACCGCATTAAGATACCCGCAGGTTTTCCTGAGATTGCTAAACAAACTGCTTGAACAACAGCAGTTTCCAATAATGTTGAAAGAAGCTAAGGTTGTCGTAATACCGAAAGGTAAAGGTCAAGAGGAAGAGGTACGATTTCGGCCAATTTGCCTTCTTAGTTCGATAGCTAAATTGTACGAACAGCTTGTGAAAGGCCGCCTTCAGTAAGAGCTAGAAAAAAAGAATGCGCTGAGCGACCGCCAATATGATTTTAGAGCCATCGTGTGGTGAAGTGCACTTTTTCTTCTTCTTCCGCTACTATCGGAGATTGGAAATCATTCTGGCAATTATAATTTTGTTGGTTACGCGCCTGAATAGTTCAACTGAACTGTATTTAAACCATTCACGAAGATTGCGTAGCCACGAGATTTTACTTCTTCCTACGCTTCTTCTGCCTTTGATTTTACCCTGCATTATATTTCTTAGTAGTTCGTATTTTTCACCTCTCATGATGTGCCTCAAGTAATTCCAATTTATATCTAAGCATCTCTGCGAAAGAACACTTACTGCAAACAGTACATCTCGTGTTCCCAGTCCTTTCCTAAATCCCATTTGTATATTACTTATGCCTTCCATCTAATTTCTTATGTATTCTATTGTGAATTACGTACTTTTAAAAACAATTTTAAGACATGACTCATTAGAGCTATGGTGCGATGTTCATTGCACTCCTTTGCATTGGCTTTTTTACGAAGCAGTATGAATGTTGATTGGAGCCATTCTTTAGGTATTATACTTGTTCTATACATGGTATTAAATAGATCCAAAAGAATATCGATAGATTCAGTATTCACAATTTTGAGTAATTCGATAGGAACTTCATCAGACCTGGGAGAGTTAGCTTGTTTCATTGCATATTCAATTTCTTCTCGTATAATGTCAGGCCCAGTATCATCCTTAAATTCTTTTGGTGCTTCTATTCTCTCTTTGTCTTCTAAAAGTTGTGCTATATATTGTGTCATCTCTGCATTTTTTGGTTTATATATGTTATAAGCACACCACTTTTATCTCTTAGTTGCCTAGTTTGAAGTGTTTTTCTCATTCCTGTTAATTCTTTAATTCTTTTATGCCTGTTACAAAGGTCATATTTTTTTTCAATTTCTTCTAGTTCTTGGCACTGCTCATGTGACATTCTCTCCTTGCTTCTTTTATTCTTTTTTTAATTAATCGATCAGTTTCCTTATATTTAATTGGATTTTTTGTTTTGAATGATTTTCTTTCATTCATTAATAGTAGTATTTCTTCAGTCATCCAGTCTTTATGTTTTCTTTTCGTTGGTTTTAAGTTTTCATTTGCTGTTTTAATTATTGCTACTTTTATATTTTCTCATTTATGATCAGTGTTATAGCTTCTTTACATAAATTTTTAGTAAGAGATTTTACAGTTTGTTCCCTTGTTTGTGGTTCCCTTCATCTCTTAATATCAATTCTATTTTGTGTGGGTTTTTTAACCAGTTTCAATTTGGTTCGTAATGTGACTACTATGGGGTTATGGTCTGAACCGATGTCTGCTTCAGGGTGAGTTTTGGCAGACAGTATAGAATTATAAAATCTTTGTTTAATTAGGACAAAGTCAATTTGATTTCTGATTATTCTATTCGTTGTATCACCGGGAGATTTCCATGTATACAATTTTCTTTTAGGTAGCTTAAAAAGTGTATTAGCTATTACAAATTCTTCTGTCTGGCAAAATTGTATCAAACTGTCACCACGTTCATTTCTATTTCCTAGACATGTTCCAAATCATGGTAAAATAGTTCGATATCGTCGTCATCTTTATCTGCCGTAGGAGCATAAACTTGAACAAAATTTACTATACCTTTTTTAGACTGAAGTTGTATTGATAAGATCCTATCAGAATAAGGAGTAAAACTTCTCACAGAATATTAGACCTTTTTTGCAACTAAGATAGCAACACCATAGCGATGATTGACCTCATTGTTACCTGAATAACACATGGTTCCATTATTTGTAATTTGTTTGCCTGAACCTGACCACTGTACATCACTTATACCTAAAACATCAATTTTTAGGTTTTCCATTTCAAGCACATTTCAAGCAGTACGTTCGCTAATTTACCACTTGAGTATAGACTTCTGACATTCCAGGTTGCTAGTTTCAATGTCTTAAGTGCACAGGGATTTATCTGGTTTACGACCTGAGTAGTGTAGTGCACCGAATACTGCTAAACATGCCAAGCCAATGGAGACCTGAGGCAATGCTCCTCAGGGTATCTAGCCCATACAGAACAGTTTCAAATAAGGCTCTATATATAATTGGAGCGGTGATACCGATCGTTTTGTTGTGCAAAGAGAGAGCGAGGGTGTATGCGAGGAGGACGGATGTAAATATAGATGAGCATGAGAGAGAAAGAACGATAGTAGAGTGGCAGAGGGAATGGGCGAATAATAGCGGAAAGGCAAGGTGGACGAAGTAGCTTATTCCTGATCTAAGGCCGTGATGGGAATGTAAGTTCAGGAAACTAGACTACTACCTGACGCAGTTTATGACCAGACATGGTAGTTTTGGCACATTCACAAATAGAATAGTCAAATCTGCCTCGACAGACTATACTGTTTGTGGGGTACCGGACATTTTTAGGGTTCCAATGAATAAAATTCAGATAGCTATGATGGTAACAAACGTTCTAAAAGAACATGGTACATGAAGAAAGAAGAACATTTTTATGCCGACATTTTTAACTGCCAGAGATGGGCAAATGAGAGGGGAGATTTCGAGAGGCGAATGGGTTTCGGGCTGGATGAAAGAAACATTGTAAACATAATGTTGAAAGGAAAGAAAAAATTGACAGAAGTACACTCTGATTTCTGGGGCGATGAAGAAAAAGGAACAGGAGGACATAGGAGGAAATTGAGCCAGGGATCTGAAATTTATGGTTAATATTATTTATTAGTTGGACGGCCTCAGTGCAAAAGGTAACATGTCAAATTACTTGGTTTTGAGGAAACGAAAAAAAACGATTCTTGGGTTTTTTTTTCGGATAATTTTTTTCATATTTTTTCAGAAAACAATACAAAATAGTGGTTATTATTGAACTGAAAATTTTATGGCTGAACTTTCAATTTAGTCAAATTTCCTGACTTGTTACAAAATGCACAATATTTTCCTTGCTTGTTACCAATTCCACAGACTTACTCAGGTACTATTTCTTTTTTTTTAGCAGCTTAAAGGCCAAAAATACATTAAATTTATTACAAAAACTTTATTAATAAAAAAGGTATATCTAACGTGTATGTATTATTATAAAAAATAGTAAATAAAAAAATGCTAGTCCTTTTCGTCACTTATTAAAGGATCGAGCAAAACACCTTGGGCTGCTAGATCTTGATAAAATTTATGATACACCGGAGAGAGGTACAGAAATATTGACAAAATGTCTCTTTTTTTCCAATGATAGTGGCAGTGGTTGTTGGTAAGCCTGTTTTTTTGTAAATGATAATTCTGTTTTCAACAGGTTTTTAATCTGTGCATGAGTCGCTGTACAAAACGACATGTGAAATATTTTTTTCTATTCGGTGGAGTCCATGGAACACACAAGAAGCAATCTCGTTTCCTCCTCTTTTTGCCATACTCTCATACCACAGAAAACATAAAGCGACTCCTGTTTTCATGTTGTGCATGGTCAGATTAAATGTTCATAATTGTCGTTTACAGAAGGCCCCTGATGTTTGCACAAGTGAAGTTCTCAAGTGAAGTAACCCAAGCACGCTTGTAAATCAAATGCAATTGAAGTAAAGTTTGGGTTATTCTGACTCTGCTGCTTGTCTGCCAACTTCATTGCATAAGTTAATAAAACTTTCATGTGATGATTCTTCCTACTTTCCAGTAACAATTCCTTCTCGATAGCTTGAGCGTATGAAAATTTTATTTTAATTTCGTCACGTGTATGAGAAGTACCCTTTTTAGGATTTTTATTTTTATTCCGGAGTTACGAAAGGCGTTGCCATATGTCCAAGATTATGATTACCTCGTTCATATGGGGTGGTTGTTGAAGCATGGAAAGCCTTTTTGGACAATGGTCCATACAAATTTTACTCTCTCGCCAAATATTGTGAGAAAACAGCTATTACAGACATCGATCTCTTGGCCCTGAATCGGAATATTGTAATGAACTAAAGCTGTCCTTTTCTTCTGGTTTTTAGGCATATTTTGTCGCGTTCTTTAACCCTGGTTCAGATTATCATCTTTACTTAAGAGACCGCACAGATAGGCTGCCCTTCGGTATCATGTCTTTAAATTCCAATAGGCAGTGAAAATATTTTTTTGATTGTCAAGTGAAATTTTCCCACTGCATTTTTTGCTGCAGGAGGGCAGTGGTAGCTAAATTCGGCCCAGCAACTTTCATACCTTGCTCCGTAAAATAAGCTAATCCTTGATTTCGGGAAAACTTTTTTTTCTTTTTTCTCTAGTGTCACCTTTTAAGCCTCTCATTTTAACTTTTTCTTGGGGTTGATTTTTCGTCTACATTTATTACATCATTGACGATCTGAGGAAGTAAGACTTAAGCACAAAAGTAACCTCCAACAATACGTAACCTTTGTATTGCACCAAGCATATGTCCATAGCATACTCCCACCAAGGTTGAATTAATCTATGCACATGTCATTGAGGACAGGGTTGCCAGAGTAGTAGTGTCTTAAACAAGGACGGACAAAAGATACCAAACCAAACAAAAATGTACTGTTACTAACTGGAAACATGACATCCAGGCAGTGTTTGGTGAATTCAAATACTGTAAAGGTGGTAACAAGTCCACTTATTTCCTTTTGCACAAATGAAGTTTTTCATATTATTCAACTTATTATGTTCTACACGTAAAAAAAGTAGCCTTTCTGTGGTAGTAGACTTGTTTCTTTTTGCACAGAGTTAGACATTGGTAAACCAATTATTATCACATGAGAAAAAAAAATCCGAAAAATGACTTGTTACCTTTTGCACTGAGGCCGTCCAGGTTATGGCGTAACGTCTGAAACATTTTCTGATTTACGGTAATAAGTATGGTTGTTTATAAATTTTTAGTTTTTTATTTTAGTTGTTCATTGAAATGGCAAGGGTATAGGGTGTCTTGTTCCGTGACGTAGATGTCCAAAAATATTTTCCCTACCATTGCCTGTCAGAATTCAATGAATACCTTCTTAGACTCTCACTGGAATATGGCAATACGGCAATTAAAAAAATACTATGTACTTTTCCCTCCTTATGGAGGGCGAAGTGAATAATGCGCATGTAGAAATTCAAATTTTTCTCCTTGCCCATCATTTCCTCTTTGCCCACTTTTTTTTTTGTCGATTATATACAATATAATATGGCTTCTTTTATTCTTTAAAACCCTTTTTACTTATTTTGGTTGGTCATTGTTTGCAATACTAAAGATCTTGCTTCAAAATGAAAAATCTAACTTGGCATGTAATTATTTAAAAAAAAAGTCAATAGAAAATGAAACTAACACGTTAAAATCTTTTTTCGTTTATGTTTATTTTAGCATTTATTTTTTATTTATTTATTTTTGTTAATTTCTTTATAGTTACCGCAATAGATATTCATTTGATTGGTACCGTAGTAGCAGTAGTGTGTGTATTTTATACATTTTTGGTAAGTACATACTATGCAGTATTTTGGCTTTATTAAACGAAAAACTTTACATACCGGTCACTTTCAACGTATCTATCAATCATCTAAACAAAACATTTGAGGTTGATAGCGAGGCATATATTGGTCGAAACGTCATATTAAACTTTCGCATTAAAACAACTTCAAAATATGGAATTAATATATTTATGTATTAGATAGTTATTTACAGATTACAGACCAATTGGTTCACATTCCGTAATTTAAAGAACTTAACACCTCCAAATATAAAATTTGATCTATCCAATAAAGCAACCGAAAACGATAATTAATATAGGTAATGCCTTAAAACTCAAAAATCGTTACATCTATAATTGTAATGAGAGGTCCATGACAAGACAACGTTTCTGTAAATAATAATTTAGAGAAAACCCAAAATGGGTTTTTCTGCAATGGGTCAAGACATTATACTAAAAATTCCATGGACGGCTATGCTGACAAATGTGGCAGTCCTTGAGAGAGCAAATGCTGCTCGCGAGCTGCTTGATAACATCAAATGTAGAAATATGGCCTATTTTGGACACGTAGTGAGGCGAGACCGATATAATATTCTTCAACTTATTATGATGGGTAAAATCGAAGGACGCAGAGGAATTGGTAGAAAGCAGGCCTCTTGGTTGAAGAATATCAGAGAGTGGACAGGAATAAAGAAAGCTGAGCAACTCTTTAGAATAGCTCGAGACAGAGACAGTTTCGCCATGTTAATCGCCAACCTCAAGGGGACTTGATAGGGCACGTTAAGAAGAAGAAGGGTCAAGACAAACGTTTCTGCAAAAAATAATAATTTAGAGAAAACCCAAAGAAAATTCAGAACACAACTAAGAGAAATATTATAGCTACTTATTTTTAAGGTCTGATTTGACTTTATATTTAGATCATTAGAGGAGCAGTATATGTTGTAATGGTTAATAACTACTATAATTTATGGGAATAAACCACAATATTATAATTAAAAATACGTTTTTCGACTTTCCGATTTATACCGCAGAAGTCGTTTTCAAAATAATTAGTAAACAATTTATTTAGTTACTTTACTGGAAAATTACAATTCGGACTTATTGGGGACTTAAAAAAGATATTTTCGGTAATTTTGTGATACGTCCCTGTAACGACTTTATTGGAGGATGGTTCATTTGATTGCATGAAATCAACTTTAAGTTAGAACACTTGTCATAAAACATAATGATAACATGTGACTGTTTTGTAAAGAGACCACCACATCCAAATATGACAGTAAAATACTCTTAGTTAGTTAGTTAGTTAGTTAGTTAGTTAGTTATAAATTACAACTTCATTGTAAATAATGAGAAAAACACTCTTGATTTACTCTCATTATTGATATCATATTTTAATCTTTTGTGCATTTTAAATTATAAATGACGTCAACTCGACATGTTATTACCTATTTGGAATTTTCTTCATGGTGACTTATTTTAATTTCTCTGGACAGGTCACCTTGTAAGAATGGTAATAACAGAACACCTAGTAGAATATTTAGTGGAACTATGGTGGGACGTCGGCCAATAGGTAGACCAAGGAAGAGGTGGATAGACGAAGCGAGAACCGATGCTAAAAAGATATTGAGGGTAGATAATTGTAGAAGGGCAGCAAAGGAAAGGGATGCTTAGGCGGATACTGAGGGAGGCCAAGGACTTAGCCTGGCTGTAGCGCCATGGGAGAGAGAGACTTGTTTTAATATTGATAAACAAATACCATTACATACTATGTACTGAAAAATTTACCATGCAGTTGGTTTTATTTAATAAAATAATCCTAGCGGCTTTGTAACTCTTTTTACCTTGCTGAATTTCTCTTGGCAATATTAAGATGGTGACTATTTTTCAAAATTGCTGGATTGTGAGGACAATCCCAATTGACAAGAAGAACAAAGTTATCGAAGTTACTTCTTTAAATAGTACTAAAAACTCATTGACGTAGAGATGCAAACGTTTTTATTTATGAGAAACTTCATAACCATTAAATTAAAGACATAAGATAAAAAAATCAAATAAGCTATTCTCATTTTGACAAATGGACCAAACTGAGTAGAAAATTCTTTAGTAGAATGGAATATCATTTGATTACCAATATTAAAAAAAGATGTCAATAAAACACCATATCAACGTTAATAAGTTGAAATCAAATCAATGTTCCATCATTTACGATTTAAAATAATATACTTATTTATAAAAGATTAGAAGAATTTGATATTAACAATGATAATAAATCAAATGTAAGATTAATGCCATTATCATAGAGCAGTATCATACTATTATTATTCGTTCTGTCAGTTGTTTTTTAAAAAAAGTCGATTTCATGTAATTAAATGAACTTTCATTCAATAAAGTCATCTAGGAATGCATCTCAAATATATTGACCATATCATTTTAAAGTCCTTTACTTTAAAATTTATATTATATTTTTGAATTGTCATTATGAGTAAGGCAGATAAAATTAAACTATTAGTTGAGTTTTTCTATGTTGAAGTGAAAAAACAAAATAATGTGTTTAATTTTTATTTTGAGAATGATTTCAAAGGTGCTAATCATAACGTCAAATATAAGCTATTTTTATTTAAATTATGGTTTATTTCCATACAATACAAAAGTTAATATAAAAATGCTACAACAAAATAGTTTCACAACCAGTGAAGTTTCTTATGTGGTTAACAAATTTCCAGAGAAAACGACACAACAAGAAGGAGGATGTTTGCCAAAATTTAAGTTCGACTTAAGTTAGGTTAGGTTAAGTTCAATTTGATTAGTGTATGCTTAACAAATCTTCCACTCGACCTAAGAGGTCTATTGTGACTTATACTTAGGTAAAAGTTGTAGCTCAGCCTTTTTAACAAAGTCTATTACGGCCTTCGATGATACTTCTACGAAGTAGGGTTCGAGTTGATAATGCTCAAATGTATTGAGCCTTACCCTATCCAGCCCTGGGCAGTCTCGTCATCGGTCTGACGTAATCTACAATTCGCAATTTCTGTCAGTCCGATTTTGTCCATGTGTCCCTTGAGGTGACAAACATACGATAATACACATATCACTCATATTCTTATGTAATAGATCTTTGGATCTCCTATGTTTAAGACCTATTTAATCGTGCTAGTGGTTAAAATTTATCCGTTCCAACCAGTTCGATATTGCTCTTTTGGTTATGCTTCTTGCTATGTCAACGACAGGTTCTGGGCATATGAATAATTATTTGCCCCTCCTCTGGCAATTAGGTCCGCTTTTTCGTTCCCTTTAAGACCAGTATGTCCAGGTACCCAGAGTAAATCTACTTTGTTACTTTTTACGATACGAATAAGATTTTGAAGACAGTTCAAAACTAACTTGGAGTCAGTCCAATTCCATTCCAGTACCTTTAATGCCACCTGGCTATCAGAATTAATTTTTATAGATTTATCCTTGCAGTTTCTCCTGATTAGTTCCTGCATGCACATTTTTGATGCAGCTCCAACGCCTTCATGAGAAGGTCAAGCATGACCTGTTGGGGTGGTCGACATCGCTCCTGTTATAATTAAGCATGCTTGTCGTTGAAACTTATTCAGCTTCTCTTTGACATCTTTAATTGGCATCAAGATCACAATATTAGTGCGCCATACATAATCATATGTCTGACTACAGCCATATTTAGCCAGTACAGTTGTTTCGGTTTCAAACCACATGCTTTCCCAAATAACCTTTGATGTGTAAAAAGAAAAAGCTCTGCTTTTGACAGTTTCTCCATATAGAATGGGCATCCAGGTATTATCTAGGTTCTTTCTCTTTGTGAAACTAAGCACTACTGTTTTACTAGGATTGACAGAGAGTTTTCCCTGTCGCTAAGATCGACTTACTTTATTTATATCTTAAAGCAAAATTATTTAATGCCTTATATATGTAAGATTAATGTAACCTACTAAGTATAACCTAACTTCTTAATATAACCTACCCAAACCTATGAGATATAATCTACATCATACACATATAATACAAGATAGAGTCTAATGGGTTGGATTTATCATTCACCTGACCTTCTTATTGGTCATTTGGGTCACGTGGTCGATAAACCTGGCAAATTAGAAAGAGATGCAGGAACTGCGTTGCGTCAGTAGTTGTCTCTGTCGCAATGGGGAAATGGGCTGGTATTGCAAGAATTAGTATATCTTGTAATATATGTTTATGATCTAACTTTATTTAACCTACCATTGTCTTAATTTTAGGGTGGTTTAAAAGCTGTGGTATGGACTGATTCATGGCAGGTTATAGCGATGTTCATTTCAGTTGTCGTTGTGATAATTTTGGGGACAATACAAGTAGGAGGACCGAGTACAATTATCGATCTCACAAGCAAGGGCAACAGATTTGAATTCTTTAAGTAAGTGTAATGTAAATCTGTTCACATTTATTATCATGATAAGAATGTTATATACTGAATTCCTGGATAAACGCCTCCCCAAGGCTTTTCCAATTGTCGCGTTCTAACGTTCTGCTCATTCAATGTCTTTCACCAGGTGTCGTCCCCAATTTTCAATTTTGGTATTTTTCTTTTGCTTGTTCTTGGTCTCCAGATACTCTAGATCTTTGCTTCTATCTTGTCTCTTCTGCTTAGGTAACTTGCCTATTATATTTAGATTAATGCATGTTAGTAAGGGTTATTGTTAATTACTTGCATTAATTACAACTGTACTTACTTAATTATATCAGTTTACTCACTTGTTTACAATATTGATCGGTAACGTACTATAAATATAAATAATAAATATTGACTAGCGATTTACACTAACGTTGTGAAGCACTATCCTAGTATGTATATCTACAATGACCATCCTTCTACATATAAAGTTACTTTACAATTTCCACAACTTTAAATATTTCACATAACTTTCATTACTTTGATTATAATTCTTGTAAATGCTTGTTTACTTGACATGATTGACAATTTTAGTATATCTTCTTACATTTTTTATATTCTTTCTCTTAAATTTTGATTCTAGCTTTTATTCTTATAGTACTACACAAATACATATTTCTTAATTTTCTATGTCTTTCTTATACTGTTTATCTCTAAACATAATAATGAGAGGAAGCAGATACAGGACAATGCAGTTGATAGCGGAAAGATCGACGAAGGAAGAGGAATTGGTAGAAAGAAATACTCATGGCTCCGAAACCTTCGTCAATGGACTTGCTTATCAGCAGATGAATTATTACATGCCGCGCAATATCGAGAACGATATCGGGAAATTGTCCTGGAAGCTACCCACGTCTAAAACTTGGGCACGGTACTTAAAGAAGAAATATATATATATATATATATATATATATATATATATATATATATATATATATATATATATATATGTATATATATATATGTATATATATATATATATATGTATATATATATATATATATATATATATATGTATATATGTATATATATATGTATATATATATATATATATATATGTCCTCATATCAAGGCGAGATCCGTTTGTATCATAAGCTATACAAAATGAGATCCGTTTTGCAAGGCGAGATCCGATTTTGGATCTCACCTTGTATTCACGTGTATATAGTGACATCTCGATGTAACAATGATGGGGGTACAAAGAAATCGATTTTTGTCTGGACCTCATTTTGCACTCCTTTTGGTGAATTTTATATTGCAGTAGTTCTACTAAATCCGCTGTAGAGGCAGTGCGAGCGATCCGTTGTGTATATGCTAAATATACATTTTGTAGACAACCCGAGATCCGGTAAATTTGGCAACATCGCAAATGAATTTTACAGTCAGACCTATCAGTCCCTTCGGCTTATTTCCGGTTTGAATAATATTATTTACATTATTAAAGAGCTCTGTCGTAAAAAACTAGACGTCGTATAAAAAAAACTTAGGAATTCTTTTTTAATGGTTTTTCAAAATCTATATACTTATGCAATAGCAGGGTTCTTATTCTCCCTGCGAACGCGGTGGGTGTAGCAACTTTGAATTTTCAACTGGAACCCTTAATTTTTATTTAAATAAACATTTTGAAATTAGATTAGAACTATTATGGATATAGATATAAAATTAGAATAATTAATTAAATTAGAAATTTAGAGTTGAAAATACACAACTTTTGTGTGAATCTATAATAGCTTTTTTAACCAGTGGGAAGAGCTTCAAAATCGTCGTTTTGATGACATTTTTAGGAGTTAGATGATTTTAAGTAATTTTTTGGATAAAATTATGTAGAACACGTTGGTAAGTACTCGAAGTCATAAAAATTTCGGAGCCATTGTTTATTTGTAGTATTATTTTTTTACAATTTTTCTTCGCATCTTTTCTTTTGCATATCATTTATAATTAAGGGACCAACTATGCTGTTCACGTACTATACTAAGATTCCACGGGAAGATTTTTCAATATATGCAGTTCATTTATGCTAAACTTGGACACTGTACGTCAAATAGTTTACGAGCTATAGCTTTATAAATAAATTAACTTTAAATTTCCTTTAAATTCGTTTACTGAAGAAAATCCAAATTTAGCTGTACAGCTCGCACTCCCTCGTAGGGGAAAATTCACTAATCCCAGATACCCACATTATCAAAAGGATTGACCTGTGGGACTCTTTCTGTGTTCGATTCCTAGGTAACTTGGTACATCGGGGTTTGTCCAAAAAATTTTCATACATTATTATCTAGTATTATATAAAGCTTATTAAGGTCGTTGTAACGGCGTTAAAATTCAAAAGCTTGTGATATATAAAACATCTAAAATTGCAACGGTTTTTCCCTGGCAGCAAATTTCACGTTCAAGAACAAAGGATAGTAATAAAAACAATTAAATCTATATACCTATTTCTTAATTATTATCTTGTGTTAGTTATCTTACTCTATGTTAGACTCTTCATTACTATAAAAAGAAGTAACACTCTCTATGGTTAAAATTGTTCACATTTATCACCTTTTTTGTAACATTTCACTTGGGCCATAATATATTTACAAGAACCAATGAATTTGATCTCGTTTCCGTTTACATGAGCATTGGAGCCCCCGGACAGTCTGACAATTAGAAAAAAAACCAATATAATAATTATTCGTCACAAAAAGGTAAAAATAAACTCATCTTTGACTTCGAATCGAGACTCATTAGTAACGTGTCGATAAATTTCAGCTCCGAATAAAACGTGTTTTTTGTTGGTTTATACCAAAACTTTAAATACAAGTTTGTACTAAGAGTGAAATTAAAGTGTCTTCTAATTACAGAAAAGAAAAATTGTAAGTACAATTTTTATTTGATCCAGATAAAACCATTTAAAGAATTTTATTGAAAACTAAACAGAAGATCTATTTTTATTTCAAATAAAAACGCCGATAAGCCGGCTTAATTACCTTAAGTCAGTAGCGGCTCTAGTATAATTATACTAAATGAAGAAATTAAAAATTAAAAATGGATAACAATTAAAAACAGACACAGTAATTAATAAACCATTATTATCATCTTCAACACCAACCTCTTCTTCAACATTAACCTACTCTAATGCCGTAAGCAGCTTTAACTTTCCATCCAAAGAACAAGCAATTGTTTTGTCATCAGTACCAGATATAAAAATACACGAATACATAACAGCAATAGGAACTTTAGTACAACCAAAAAATATCATCTTTGCGTCCAGAATTTCAAATAACAGAGTATGCATATATCTCAGTAACACTACAATCCTAGAAAAATTACTACATAATCACAAATCCGTTTCAATACAAGGAAACGACATAGAAATTAGAAGATTAATTACTCCTGCGAGCCGACTAGTGATATCAAATGTCTGTCCCAGTATTCCAAACACTATTATCGAAGAAGAGCTCAAAAAATTGGAGCTTATTGCAGTGTCTAAAATAACATTTTTAAAAGTTGGCATGCCTGAATCTGAATACAATCATATATTAAGCTTTAGACGTCAAGTATTTGTTGCTCCAACAACTAATAATCATATCCCAAATACACTTCTAATATCTCATGACAATACCCCCTACAGAATTTATCTTTCCTTAGATGGCCTAAATTGCTCTAAATGTAATACCACAGGACACAAAGATGAAAACTGCACTATCGAACCAATTAATTTACAAAATATTGACCAGCTATCTCAATCTATAAATGTTAATATTTCTGAAACAGAAAATTATCCAATAAATAAAACATCCCTTACTTCAGAAACCGCAACTGCTCATCAATCCAGTACTCCTGCTACTACTGCCTTAAACAGATCACTACCAAATACCTCCTCCAACTCACAAAACCTACCTGAATCACTATCTAATAATACCAACATAATACCACACACTTCTATAAAAAGACAAATGTCAACATCTCCTGAAATAATAGAGTCAGAAAATCAAGAAATAATAATTCCTGCTCCAAAGAAATCTGCACCTAAAAGGATTAAAAAAGCTTTGAACATCGAAACCTCAATGAAACCTATAGAAGCCATTTTATCGTCAGCTACTATTCCTTACACACTAAGATACACAGAACTATGCGACTATATTACAAATGCTATAGGTTCAAAGTTTCCTGAAAACGTAGCAAAGGATTATACAAATGACCTACAAGGACTTAGCGCTGAATTGCAAATGGTACACACAAACACAAACGATCGACGTCTTAAAAACAACATTTCAAGAATCTTAAAAAAGATACATGGAACAGACAACTCTTCTATTACTGAGGAAGAAAGCGACAGCAACTCTATCCAATAACCAAATTCATAGTTCAATGGAATTTGAATGGCTTTTACAGCCATATCGAAAACTTAAAAATATTAATCAATGAATTCTCACCTCTAGTAATATGTTTACAAGAAACACGACTTTCTAATAATAATGAAAAATTGAAAAACTATACACCATACATCAGAAATAGACCAGTGCAGCAAATAGCTAGTGGTGGTGTTGGCATCTTTGTGAAATCTACGGTCGAATCCAAAGAAATTCCGTTAGATACAAATCTGGAGGCTGTTGCAGTATCAATAATTCATCATTTCAAAATTAACATTTGCAGTGTATATTTACCACATCCGGAAGAATCCATACTCCTGGAACTACAAAAAGTGATAGAACAAATTCCATCTCCTAAACTAATTCTTGCTGACACAAATTGTCATAACGAATCTTGGGGATCTTTGAAAACTGACAAAAATGGCAAAACTCGATTAGAAATAATTAACAACCTTAAAATGGTGCTATTAAACACAGGAGTGCCTACCCGTTTCAACTCATACAATGGCACGTTTTCAACCATCGATTTATCCCTCAGCAATTCAACTTTAGCACCATTACTTGAGTGGAATACACTTTCACACTTATTTGACAGCGATCATCTACCAA